CTGCTATGGCATAGACTTGCATTTGACCATTTTACAGTTTGTGTGAGAAGAGATTGTTTTGTACCAACTTGCTACTGGAAGAAACACTTTATCTCTAAGGTCCTGAATGCACTCTTGCAGTTCTGCGGCCCTGCAATGCGTATTTGTCAGTGCTTGCCTTCAGTACTCTTAAGGCTTGGAAGGGAAGTACCTTATGAATGCAGGAGAAATCAACAAACACAGTTACGTGATTTTCAGTAGATTTGTTACCCATTTAAGTTTTTAAACCAGGACTGACATCAGCTCAGCAGTGAAGTAGCAGGACATCGCTTGCTATCTCAGCATATATGCCAGTCAGAGTACATGGGAAGAACATAACTCAAGCCCTCTTGATCCAGAATGGCAAGCATCTTGTCAGGAATGTACCTGGATGCATGAATTACACCAATAGTTCCTTAAGCTTCTGGGGACTCCTTGTAGGCTGACAGAGAGCTCTTTCATTGCAAGAACTATAAACGTGGTGCAGCCTCCTGGATTACATGCAGATATAGGCTAAAGCAAACAATAGATTTTTCCACAACCTACCAGCACATTTAGCATCACTTATACTGTTCTGTCAACTCTTCCTGTATTTCAGGAGAGAGACAGAAAGATGGCCAACACCACCAGGTCTTACCTAGAAGAGGTGTGCTATGCCGGCATGGAATATCCAAGGGCAGCGTCCTGGGAAGTTCAGTGCACAAGGTGGGGTCCTTCACTCCACAGTTTAGAGCAATGGAGCTGCTTATTGAAAACCAGAAAGTGCTGCTGTTGTTCAGTCACACTGAATACATTAATGCCACCAACTCTCCCCCCACACAGACAGTTGCATCCGCATAATGTAATACTGACAGTTATACAAATACATAATCTGTTGCTTTTTTGTCTAGAAAAGCTCATATCCTCCACGGGCAGAAGAGATTCAGGAAGAGGCAGAATAATTCAACTTTACATTTGCAATAGACATCTTGCTTCCAAGCTGGGCCTGGAACTAGATACTGCAAAACCAGTCAAGATGAGCAGGACAGAAAAAAATCTCAGTCAAACAACCAGTCATACCCTGTGGGGAAATATTTTTTTTAAAAAAAAAAAAGGAAGAAAAAAAGAGAAGCCCCTTTCAGCCAAGCCAATTAGACGGACTGAGAAGGGGAACTGTTCACCCAGTGCCCAGTACCTGCTACACGGGTTAGATTTCCCTCAACAAGAGCAGGAGGGCAGCTCCAGCTCCGCTGCCTATAGCAAAACACTGCCCCCACAACCCCCTGCCCCTGAATGCACAGCACTTGGTGGCTGCTTAGTGCTGAAGAGGTGTCCTCTGAAGGTGGCTAGAGGAAACTTCAGAAGCAGCACTTACACAGCTGGGCTTGACCTAATGTTGCTTCAGTGATGGAAAAGGGAAAAGAAATTGGAAGGTTTAGCCCCATCTTCAGCCTCTGATCCTTCTCAAAATGCAATTTATCAAAAGCCTGCAGTGACTGTATAGAAGCAACAAGAACCTGGTTTTGCAATAAAGTTTTGAATATACTTTTGTCTGTGTGTATACATATGCATGCATATATAAATAAATATGCATCTCAAATAATTTTTACTGAATGTTTAACTCAGCAAAGTTTTTTCCATGAGGAAAATTACTTAATGACTTCAGGCCATGAGAAAAACATAAGAAGAAACAAAAGTAGTGTCACGGTTTAACAGACTGAGGAATAGACATAGCAAGCACGCTTACCTTCCCTTTTGCCGGGCTCAGCTGATGTGGGCAGCAGACTGTAGTCCGATTCTAACTCTGCAAAGTACTGTTGCAGTAGCAAAATAGTTTCAGGCAGGCAGATGAAGAAGAAAAAAAAAAGGTGGGGAAAAAAAAGGTAAAAAGAGGGAAGGAACACTACTGCTAAACAAAATGGAATTTTATCTTTCTAATTGAACCACTTTCAGCTATCAGGAAAACAATGCAGCTTCTTTCCATTGTTACTTCAGTCCTTAATTTTGCAGACTTTTATGCACAAATACAAGTTTTATTCACATGCAGCTCATCCACAATGTTGATTCTGCTCCTCTGATGACCTTGTTGCAGCCTAGGATACATGTGAGGATCTTCTGTTTGTCTTTATAAATACCTTCTTAGCCTATGTTAAATCCAGACCATTCAGACCCTGAGCTATAGCATTTCTTACTAGAGCCAGTTGGGGAAAAAAAAAATAAAATAAATCTTCCTGCAATGTCTCCCCCTCCACCCCCTTCCAAACTTAAAGAAAGTATTTTTACTCAAACCAAAGCACTCCAGAGTTATATAATTTCCAACATATTTCTGCAGAGGAACACAAAGGTAATAACTGTTTCACTGTCTATTCCAGTGTCTGGATACTGAAAAATATTTTCTTACAAGAGTTTAAATGTTTGTTTTCAAGACTGTTTGCAGAAGAGAGGCCTGATCACAGCAGTGCATCGTGGAAAGCTTCCCTTAGCCACATCTGATAGGAGCATCAACAATTGTTTACAGTGAAAACCAACATTGCACCTGTATGTTCTAGCCCATTTTTTCCAGAAGGCTGAAGAAGGAAAATAAACACGTACAGATCAGTACATACAGCTTGCTTCCTCCACAGTCATGTAGAGGTTAGAAAGAAGAAATCAGATGCTGCCAAATTACTTGCAGGTCATCTCAGCTGTAGATGTCCTTCCACCAGAGCATCTTCTGTGCAAGTGTACCTTTTCCTGTCTCACCAAGTGTCATACCTGACACAGCAACTCAGAGTCACCTTTGAAGTGATTCCCATCTCAGTGCATTAGCAGTTGCTATAAGGGAGACATCTGTAAGTCTTAGAGGTTCCTTATCATTTGCTAACAAGTAGTCGGATGTTACAGTGTCTTTAAACCCGACTTACTGCCTATCACAAACCCATTGTACTTTGCTTTGGGCTAATCATACCTACAATGTTTTTTCACAGGGAAGAATTTTTAAAATGCAAGTTTTACTTTACAGAAAATGTTGTGCACTTTTTCTTCCCTATGGTTACATTTCCCCTTGCTATGATTTCCCAAATTTTGAGTGCTAAGGTGCCACAGCTCCCTGCGACAAGTCCGTTATCATTTATTTTAAGAGAAGCATTTATCCTTCTCATTGGACATCCTGTACAGGAGTTTTAAAGTTGATGGACTTCATGCTTTACTTAGAAACATTCTTTGTCCAAATATGCTAGTGCCAGTGGCCTGCCTCTGATGACTTCTACCTTGATACAAGCCTATCATAACTTTCATATCACAGTTAATAAGGGGGAAAGAGAGGCAGGGGGAGAGCATGAAAAGGAGATTTCATTAACAGTGTCACTTTGGTACCCAAGGAAAAATTGAAGGCAGCTCAGTAGCTTATTCAGATTTTCACTGCTCGAGGACTGTAGCAATTAGTGGCAAGTCATGATTAGACATCTGAAACACAGAAGGAGCTATGCCAGGCTGACTTTGGTTGAGTAGTATCTTCCTTGGCCAACAGGTTCCCTAAGTTCTCATCTCTTACCACAGAGGTGGGAGGAAGTAGGGCAATGGAGGAGGTAGGTGGGTAAGGAAGAGACCACAGCCCAGCCCTTCAGAAGTCAGAAGGGACAGTAGAACTGATTAGCTTTTGGCTGGAACCAATATAAAGCACTGTCCTCCTTCACTCACATGCTTTTTTGTCAGCGCTGTCAGAACACTTTTCAACTTCTCTACACATCTACCAGTTTGTTTATCTATAGAAAGAGATTTCTGCAAACTACCCAGAGTAACTGAAAGCTAAAATGTCAGCTGTTTGCAGGGCAGTGGTGTTTTTTGAGTGAACTCTCTGGGGTTCTTAAAATAATATTTTTTTTTCTTCTTTTTTTGAGTCACAGTGGCACCAATCTCTTCCACGTGTCTGGGGTTCTCTCTCTTTTCAGTTACTCTAGTTCACCTGGCAGAAGAGCTTTGTCTAATCAGAGCTGGAAAATGGCACACTATTTCTCTTGCTAAACAAAAAAAAAACAACAACCCCACAGTTTGAAAGAAGCTGTAAGCATCAAACAACATGAGCACATACACACACACATTAACAGTGCCAAAATACTGTTTGGAAGTCAGCAAGCACAGTCTGGAGCTGTTTCTGCCGCATCATTACCTAAAAGCTAAGACATAGGGTCTCATGTAATTTTTCCTACAAGACAAACTGTAGTTTCACAATACATATATATGTTCGTCAGTCACTTGCCTTGGGAAATGCATGTCTGAGGTGAAACATTCAGTGCGCTTAGGTCAGTCAATTTTATTTTATTTTTTTTTCTGTAAGCAAGCAATATGCACTCTGGAATTTGAAAAGCAAAAACCTCATGTGCTTTAATCAAGTCCCTGCATTCTTTAACTGCCTGAGATTTTGAAGCACTGATGTTAGCAAGTGAGCGATGGGTAGCATGAAGTTTCCACGGTTCTGCAGCAGAAGTTGCATGTGTATGATGCAATGACATGGTTGCTTTTTCCTAAAGAGAACAGCCTAACACCATGCAGTTATTCAAGAACACAAAGCAAATATAAGCAACAAGCAGAATGCAGAAGGTAAAAATGAGGACTATTTGGTACACAGAAAGCTAAAAAACGAGGGATGACTTTGCTAGGAATATGATAGGCTATATTAAGGTGTGAGAAGAGCAACTTTGGTATAGGAGTGCCAGTACCACTCGTGGAGTTACTACTAACTCTTCCTCCTAGGACTGGAGATTGTTAGGAGGTTCTGCAGCTTTGGTCCAGCCCAACACCCACTCACTGGGATCCCACCTGATTCTCTACCCAGATGCTATAGTTGCAAATCTCTTAAAGGGGAAGCAAAAAAGAAAAGGAAAAAAAAAAGAAAGAAAAAAGACTCTACTAAGCATTTTACAGGATGACCTGCAGATCAGTCCTGTTCACCCTTGCCATAACTAAACCAAAAAGGATTTGCACATGCAAGAGTGAATGCTGACACACTGCTATCAGTTACTCACTTTTTGGATCTTCCGCCTTTTCCTGAAGCAACTGGTAAGTGCTTGTTAAAGCTGCATTCCCATCCTTGAGTTTTTGCTGCTCAGAAATGGCTTCCTCTAACTTGTATTTCAAGGATGCTGCTTCCTCACAAGCAGAGTGAAAGGCTTCGACTTGATCCTCTGCCTAAGTACAAAACAATATTTAAGAAAAAAGAAAGTAATTAAAAAACAAAATAAAATAAAGCAGCCCAGCTAACACAAGTAGCATCTACAGTTCATGTAAGTGAAACCGAACTGCATCTGTTCTTTCTCAGGAAGTGATAAAGCTCCCTCTGAACTTCTGCATTTTTACATTGGGGTGGACTGTGTATGGAAGCTATTTAGGGTTTTTTTTCTCTTTTCTTTTTTTTTTAAGCCACCACAAATATGCAATGCTGCCTCTTTCATCAGCAAACTGTTGTCACCACCCCCTCAAATTTTACTTCCTCTGCTAGTTCCACTTTTGCAGCGAGGCACTCCATTCCGAACATGTGATTTCCTTTCCCAAGAGCAGTGATGCATCGCACACAGCCTTTTGCCTCTGCTTGCTTTTTTTCCTGTGGAGAAGGAACTAGACTGTCCTTTACCTGGTTTTTTTGGCATCCTCAAGCTGCTTTGTAGCTTTTCACAGCTCTAAAACACGGGCTTCTGCCTGGCTACTACTTTCTTCTTGTAACTGTTTGACAGTTTCTATCTGACGTCACCTGTGGGGTGAGAGAGCACAAACCGCAATCTGTTACTGACATTTTAGAGCAGGCATGCCTGGGAGATGACACACACCACTCATCAAGACATGCATCAAGAACCACGTTCAGCTGTTATATATTGCAGCTCCCCGGGATCCAGCACCAGGCACTTGATTCTTGCTAAGCACAATTCAACTCAGCAGGGAGAGAGGGTTTTTCTACAGCAGCTCCAAAATTAGGAAAGGGGATGGAAGTTTTCCCTGGTTTCTCCCCAGATTACCAGTCCAATGGTCAAAAGAGTCCATGGCTTGGGAAAAACAGTAAATCGGGTATGCGGTCAGTCATTCTAGAAAAGGCACCCTGAAGCTATTCCTGCAGATACACAGCTTCATTAGATTAATTTCCCAGTATTTCAGAGAGTATTTCACTTGACAGCATGCAGCTACCATCAGAACTAGTGTTAAAGATGATGGCTTTCAAGAAACCCCTTCTTTTTGACTGCAGAAGCCCTTTACCCATTTCTTCTCTAACTCATCTTCATAGTTCATTTTTTTCTTGTTGCTACCGCAACAATTTTTATATAGAAAGGCAGCTTCAAGAAAGCAAGCCATCAGTATTGTTATCAGCTTTTTTCCAAGTGAAGGGAGAGCATATGGGAGGTCTACATTAACGATGTTAAGAGGAAGGTAAGTCAGGCAAAGTGCAGTAGGACTGCTCTGCATTAGCTCTCAGGGATGCAAAGCCCTAGGGACCTGTATACACCCCAAACCCAGGTAAAGGCACATGTGCAAAACTTTACATTTAGCATAGGTCAACAGAAGGCTGACTATGACTAAGCCTGGGTTCCACAAAGACAACAAATTCAGGTTAATTGTTCTGGCAAAAAAAACCCTCCCAACTTTCCTCAGCATCTGCGGAAGGAGGGTAGACAGGCAGAGGTTTACACCTGCTGTGTTTTGCTGCCATATTTGTAACATCAAAACTCATAACATGAACTGTGTGCTGATAAACTAAAATTTCAAGTTTCATTTTCATATTTAATGAGATAAGTCAGTGAAGCTGTACCCTTGAAAAACTGTGACATTATATTGTCTGGGGCTAGCAATTTTCTCCCAAAGCAATGCCTGCAAGTATTTATTTTACAGGTCTTCTGCTTCACACAAAACCAGCAGTTTATTTAATGGTTGCACCTGCTAGATAGGCAGTGCCCTCTTGTTTTAACTGCTCAATCTGTGGCCTCCCTGGTGTTTTCAAAGACATCTCCAAGATCATATGTTACTTCATACACAAACCTTAACTCCTACGTAGTGTTAATGTTATGCTAAAACCAGATACACTTTCCAGAACAGCAGATAATTTCCTCTGTGAAAAAAGCATTCAGAAATCAGTAAATTTTGTTCCACAAGACAAAAAAAATGACCCAATCCAAAAACACAACAAAGAAATCCTACTCCGACCAAACAGCTAGGCCAACAACAACTTGTTTATTCCCCCCGCAAAAAAGGAGACACATGTAGAGAGCTCTTTCCTGAGGTGAAATTGCTCTCTCTTGGCTCTCCTCACATTCCCTGCCACTTGAATCATTCTCTAGGTATTCTCTGCATTTTTCGAAGAGCTGAAGTTGCTAGATCCAAAGGTCCTTATTTCCCCTTGTTTTGCTTGAGAAGCTGTGAAATTTTGAACTTCAGTTGCCATGTGCTTAGATGAGGAGCAGAGACAAGAGAGTAAACCAGAGCCCAAATTAGCATGATAGTTGATTCCTCTGCTCCACCATTTAGTATCATTGCCTCCATCCAACACTATCAGCAAAAAAGAAGGTAGATGATTGACAATATTTTGTAATCTACTCATATAGTGTCTGGCTGGGGAAGGTGAGAGTGAGAGAGACAAATAAGGAATTCTCCTTATTATATCCATTATAAAGGAAAAATAGGTGTTTATTTTTTAAAAAATAGTGCTTTGTGTACTGTAATAGGTTAAAAAAGCTACCTAAACTTCAAACCTGTGCCTCCTAACTCTTGAATCTGACAAGTTAGACTCCTGCCATGTGTTAGTACTCAAAGACTTTAAGATGGAGCAATGCATAACAGTTTGTACAAGAAAACATAACTCTTCCTTAAACTAGTTGACAAATGGCTTCCCACTTTTTTCAAAAGGTTACTTCTGAGCCAAAAGCCACTCTCAGCATTTCTTTCTGGGCCTATCTAGAGAACACAGACAGTCCTTTTCCACTTTAGCCCTTGGAAAACAAATATATGGCTAACAATTATTTAGGTGGAGTGTGGTAGAAGTGGTGTGGCAGGAGATTACATGGTCCACAAAGGAATCTTTACAACTCACCCCAGAAAAACTCTGTCACAAGATGCCCAGCTACAGCAATAATCATATTTCACAAGGAGAAGTTTTAATAATAATGACCCTCTTGCAGGAAGCCCTAAAACTGGTAGTTTAAACTGTGACCTTTGCTTCAACACACCAGTAACTCCATTGGCACCAATCTTGTTGCGATTTTTTCAAAGGGAAGGTTGCAAAAACGACAGAACATATCTAGACGTAGATAAGCCGGCACTTCTTTATTACAGTGCTGGGAAGCTTGGAAATCACCCAATGCTTAGAATACCTCACAAAAATTCAATCTATTTATACACTCTTTTACAAAGTTATAATATGTTAACATAAACATGCATACAATGTCCTCTATTAATTTTAACCTTTATAATGATTGGTTCAACCCTGATTAATATTCATATATCTTATTTCCATACAATCACTGGCAATGGGGGTGAGACCACATTTAACCACAAAACAAAAATGGGGGAGTAGGGAGGTAGGGAGGCATGCTTGCGTGAAATGCACATATTGATCTGTCCAAATGAAATATGCTGGTATTGTTATTAAAGCACAGGTGCAGTAAAACCAAATCACAGGTGCAGTGAGACCTTTTACAAGTACAAAACGTTCCTTGCCAGCTTTGCAGCCTGCACAGCTCTGGCTTTTGCTAAGGCCTACACACGACTTTTTAGCATAAGTAAAGTTCTATATTCCTTATCCTAATATAAATTAATAAACTAATTTAATTAAAATGGTTATTAGCTATTCATTAAGCAATTAGCTCCTTAAAATTTAGGTTTTATTACAACAATCTGAGTTTGCATTACAGCAAAACAATAACCTCAAAACCCAGTAAATCCATATTTTAGTTTGTCATATGTGCCTAGAAGATGAAATTTGTCCAAGAGATGACCCCTGTATCAAAGGCTTTCAGTTTTATCTCTGACTTGTAGGAAGGA